CAATTTTTTAAATAATTTTTAAATGTTTTCAATCTTTTCCATTAGTAACTAACTGAAACAACCTCAGGGCTGTTCTAGCTTGTTTTAAGCATTCGTTCCGCTCCATTAACTATGTTCTTAGTCCTTGCACGGATAACTCCCATATCGAACTCTGAAACAACTTCTGGGCTGTTCTAAGCCAGGGCACGTCTAACTCACAGATCGAATTGGAATTTAACGTGTCAGGTTTTGGAGAGAGAGAAAAACTGGAGAACCCGAAGAAAATATATCGAATCCAGAGAGGGACCTTGCAAACTCTACTCACACATACATGACGGACACTGAGCTCTTCAGAAAACGAATCTGAGACCCATGAGAGGTGAAAGGCGAGTGCACCATTGCTACGCAAACACCATTGATTTCTATCATTTCATTTCACTAGCCATAATTCGTATGACTGTGAAAAATATATCACGTCACCTTGTCTGTATATTATGATTCATAAAATGATCAAAAGTCTCGTTCAGATTGGCTCGAAGCAAATTGACATTATTCGTCCTCCTCCGTATGGTAATCTTTTTGTCCAAATAGAGTTAACTTCATTTATTTATTCATTATTATTTTGTTTATTTATTCATTCATTTATTGATTCGAAGGAACCTTGTTTCTCGAATCCTTGTTTGAATGGAGGAAGTTGTGTCCCTAACATGAATGAAGGCACGTATCATTGTAACTGCTCGATACAGATCCCARGCCTGCCGTATCTTGACCAACACTGCGCTGTGGGTAAGTAAATTATGGACAACAAGTGTTTCAATACCAAAYGTGAGGAAAACCTTTGATAAGGAAAAAATAATAAAGAAGTAGAAATACTATATTACTGCCGGTTTAAACATTAGATCATTTTGCGATAACAATGAGTGGGATGTTTCACAAGGTTTTTCACTTGGAATGAGACTAAAACTATCATTATTACCCTTAAATAATAATAATAATAATAATAATAATAATAATAATAATAATAATAACAATAATAATTATA